TGTGGAGGATCAGGAAGTAGCTGTTGGCTTTCTGTGCAAATAAATAATGCCCCTCCAAGGAATAGAGTTTTTATCTGTCCTGCAAGCAAACCACCCCTAAAGTGAAGGTGATCTTCACCCTGATACTTACCTTGACTCTGACCTACACCCTCACCTTTACCTGACCTTCAGCTTGAAGCTGAACTGAATCCTTTCCCTGATCTTTCTCCAAAACCTGCGTCTGATCTTCACCATGTCCCTGAGCCTGATACTCTGATCCAGACTCTGACCCTGATCCTGACCTTGACTGTGCTGATTCTCACCTTCACCCTCACATTGAACTTATCTTATATACTAGCCCTGACCCTGAGGCTGAATCTAATTTTGACCCTGAAACTTCTCTGACCCCCTCATTCACCGTTACCATGATCCGAAATCTGAATCTCACCCTGACCCTTACCATGTCCCTGAACCTGACTGGAGTCCTCATGCTGACCTTCAACTTATCCTAATGATAATCCTAAGCATTTTCCTCATGTTCCCTCTGAATCTGACCCTAATTCTCACCCTAACACAAAAAAACTCAGATTCTGAACCCGACCCTCACCAAGATCCTGACCATGACCTTGACCTAGACACTCAGTATGACTCTCTTCCTGACTGAACTCTGACCCTTAACTTGAACCTCACACTGACATTCATCATAACCCTGGACCTGACCGTGAACCTGACCCTCACCCTGACCTTTATCTGATCCTTAACCTCACTCTGTTACTGAACATACTAGTTTCGTGTAGATTTCTTATAACTAGCAGTAAGAACATAGTTTTGAGAACCATGTACAATTCTGAACTGGCTTACACTTGTACTGTGTGTTTTCAGATGTGCTGCTTTGATTTATGTTAATATGGTCTGCTTTTTAGAACGTGTGGTTCTCATTGATTTGCCTCAGAAGAAGCATGGGTTAATTCTAACAATCAATAAGAATTTTCTTTAGAGATTAACGTCTGATTTCATGTTTACCGCTTGCCTGTTCACACGAGTATGATTTCCAATGATATTTGATTTAACTGACAATAAGAAGTTACTGTAGAGAACAGTGTGTAAATATGAACTCATTTTCATATATATGGCTTAGAGTCTTCTCATCTTGTTCTAACTCACAGGAAGAAAATGCAATGGAGACGAATGTGAGCTTCTGAGGGGTTTTTTTTGATTATATAAATCTCATATACATCTCAGCATAGGCAAACAAAGTAGAGCTGAGAAAATTCGTATTAATGCACAGAAGCTCAATCTTAGACATTTCTCTCAAAAGAAACTCCTTAGTGCTTCTCTGAACTAGGATGCGTACAAGCATGGATGTTCATCTCAAAGGCACATTCTTACTTTGAGGTGCAGCAAATGAGCAAGAGAGGAAGTAGTAGTAGTGAAAAGAATCCATTTAAACAAGCTCCATCTCAGACATCCTTCTCAAAAATAACTCCATATTGCTTTTTAGAGTAAAGCAAGATAAGCATAAAGACAGCACAGTACTTTAAAAAGCAGATTCTTATTCAGAGGGAAAAAAGATTAAAATTACTGTTTACTAAATAACTTTTTTTTTACTAAATAACTTTTAATTGACCCTTTGTTTTTAAAATGTCCATGGATTAAAAAATATGGAAATACTTTTGATTAGTAATACATATACGTATTTGCCTTCTCAAAGCTTTTAATTAATCTGAGATAAATGCTCATAAAAAAATGACCTACAAAGTTTTTAACTTTCTGTCTTCTAGGTATCTTTTATGCCTAGAGAAAAAAGAAAAGAATGAGTAATTAAAGAAAGTACTTGCGAAGGGAGGGTATAGCTTAGTGGTAGAGTGTGTGCCTAGCATGCACGAAGTCCTGGATTCAATCCCCAGTACCTCCATTAAAATAATTAAATAAATAAATAAACCTAATCCCCCCCCCCAAAAAAAAATTTAAAAAAAAAAAGTAAGTGCTTAGTACTTGGTGTTCATATGTGATTATTTGGGTGCAGGCATTGCAGAGACATAGGTATATGCATAAGAGATGATTTTCTTTTTGTTTATTTTTAAAAGTTGTATGCTTCATTCACATAATAAATTTAAGATGATGTATCATTTAGTATACTGACAATTATATTTTAAATCTGTAGTTTAAAACTTTAAGTTATTACCTATTTCTGTGTTTTATATCTATGTATCTCTTGATGCATACAAAAAAGGTACATATCCTTTGCTTCAGTTTGTTACACAAGTAATGTGCCAAAAAAGTGAAATTAGAATTTGGGCCTTTTGTGTAAAACAACTTATTATTTTATGCTGAGATCAACAGAAGTTCCTTTTGTCACCAACTGCTAACTGTTGGTTAACTATTAATGCTCATGCTTTTTGCATACCCTTCAAGCCTTTCCTCAGCAATTCCCTTGGATAGCCTTGACCTAATTTGTTCAAAGTTTAAAATGCTAAAGTTAAAGCCATCCTTTAGACATTGACAATTTCCAAAAATTGAATCAGTTCAGATTGACTAGGATAATTGTCCTCATTCGGGGTTGCCAGCTCACAGAAAATAAAAGTGCAAATATTCATACTGATAGTAAATGTGCTTTTGAGTAGTTCACAAATTCAGTTATTTAGAAATAAAGGTGTTTCTAACCTTGAAAAACCTAAATAAATTGAACAACACATTAAAGAACTTTTAGACACTTTGTTATTACCTAAGAAAAAAGCTATAATAAAAAATAAAAAGTCAGAGGGAGGGTATAGCTTAGGGGCATAGCCCATGCTTAGCATGCACAAGGTCCTGGGTTCAATGCTTAGTACATCTATTAAAAAAAGAAGAAGAAGAACAACAACAACAACAACACAAAAATAAAATGAAATAAAAAGTCAAAGACCTAGATTCTCACATATTGCTTCAGCTGACCACTACTATGTTAAAACAAAAAACAACATTTTAACCTAGATAAATACTCTTACAATCATTAGGCAAGAAAAGTCTTGGAGGAATTCAAAGAATGTCAGAAACAACTCTCTAATTCAACTTAGGGTGCCCATTATGTTTCTGGATGGCTGATTATGCCAAAACACTTGAAAATGACTTTAACAACAATTCTTCATGACATTACCCATGAAGCAAAGATAAACCAACAGCAATATTAAACCAACACCACTGTAGGCACCAAGGTTGTTTCCAAAGCAAGTCTTACCTGCCAACTGTACAATCCAGATTAAACTGTCCAGGTGGGCCATGGACCGGAACTAAAGGCCTAGGGCCTTTAAGCATCTCCAAATGGACTTCATACAAATACTTTTTGCAGTGAATTAGAAATATGTTCAGTTCACTGTGTATTGATTGTCATAGTGCATCTAAGTTTTTCCTTGCTGGAGAATTATAGCCATACCTGGGCCAGGGGGTGGGGTAGGGGGGTGCTTGGTTTTGTTTTCCCACCAGGGGAATTCCCACTGACCCCTCTAATGACTGAGACACTTATTTTACTCTTACTGTGATTAAATACTTTTACACAGAAACTACACTGTCCTTATCACCTACAAATCCTCAAGAACAATCCAGAGAACTAACGGAATCTTTAAAATTAACAAAGTTCTCAAAACCCCTTGAAATTCCCGTCGCCCTAAATACCATTAGCTTTCAAATAGAAAAGACCAACGCTTTCTGGGATCGTAATGTTTTGTCCTAATTCTGCAAGGGTGATCCTTTCTTAAAGGGACAAGTGGTTGGATTCCCACGGTCTATCTGGGGTCCCAACTCTGCCTCTCACCCATTTCCCACCTTGGGGAAAGGGAGAGAGCTGCAACAGACCTCTCTGCTTACCCGAATAATCCTAGCCAGTGACGGACTGCAAGTTTTACACTACCCAGCATCCTGTTGCAACTTAATTCTTTTGGCCTAAGTCATCTTCCCACTGCTCCTCAACGCATGCGCATACTCGCAAGCAGGCGGTACTGCGGTACTTGGCAAAGTTTGCAGAGAGGAGCCCCGGCCTCTGCACACTTTACTCAAAACCTGGGCTGGTCAGGACTCCTCGATGCTGGGAAATGCCCGATGCTGGGGAATGTTACTGACCGTTAGCGGAAAGTTCCCTGTGCGACTATAGAGCATGCTTTGACTATTCCAGGTTCCTCGGCTACTAAATTGCTGTTGGCAAAGTTCAAGCGCGAGGGAGCCCTCGGCAGCCCCAAGGAGCGCCTGCCGCTGACGCGGCCCAGAGAAGACCGGGGTTAGCAGGGATCTCTGTTGCCATCTCTCTCTTTCCTCAAAGGAAGAACGGCACAGGGTCGGGGGCCCAGATAAATATCACATTGTGATCACCTGTTCTTTCAAGAAAGGAACAACTCAAAAGGTGATGCTTCGGTGCCAGAAGCGCACGCTCTCAGCGTCTCCTCCTGTTGGAACTGTGGTCCATATTTTAGGGGTGAATTAAAGTGTGCGACGGCATTTTAAAACATTAACAAAAATAAGTCAGGGCCACTCGAGGGGATCTCAAAAGAACAGTTGAAGGGTATGCATAAGCATTGAGCATTAACAATAAATTGGTGACAAAAGGAACCTTTGTTGATCCGGGCATAAAATAATTCAGTAATTTGCACATGAAATTCCTAAACTCTAATTAATTCCTTTGAAACATTATTTATGTTACAAATTTTAGTAATGGGTCTGTTGACCTACATTTACTTGTATGAATTTATGCATACATTGGTATACAAACATATAAATAGGTGATAATTTAAAGTTTCTGACAATAGCTTTAAAATACAATTGTCCTACGTATAGATCTGTATATCTGCGAAATCCTCATACCTAGTGTAATCAGTATTTATATTAACTAGTATCTTTAATTAAAGCAAGCAACCCTTCCTTTTTTTCTCTAGACATAAAAGGTACTCAGAGGACAGAAAGTTTAAAACCATCCAGCGTCTTTTTTT